TGCTCCACCGGCTGAGCCACCCAAACGCCACTATTCTCTGTATTTATAGGTCTGACTCTTCTTTTTGTTTGTTTATTAACATGTGGAATCTAAAGAAACAAAACAGAAGATAGATTCTTAAAGGGGGAGGGTGCACTCCTACTTTTTACTTTGTCCTGATGTTTGAACTGTGGTTGTGATAGCAGGGGCTACCTCAGGCAATCAGCACAAGAGAGTTTGCAGAGAGCTCTACAATGGGATTTTAGCATTACTGTACATTTCCCAAGTAAGAAGTGCTGGCAATTGTTTTTCCACACTGTCTTGCAAGGATATTTGTAAATCAAACAGCTATGGAAGATAGAACCACTGTCTTTCTTTGGAGCAGAGAGCAGATTCATTCCTTGGCCAGAATAATAAAGATAATCGCTCCTTTCACAGCAAAGCTTGGCAGGTTTGTTGGCAGCTTTCTTTAATGAATTAGCACTTCCTAAACTTAATGTTCCTCAGATGTGAGAAAGGCCAAGCCCCGCTGCATGTGCAGTATTTACTTGAGTCTCTTATCTACCCATTGCGACTTGGCAGGGGACAAGACCCAACGTAAACATGAAGCTCATGTTGCTTATTGTGCTGTGAATAGTAGCATTTTTTTCCTCTGACCTAGGAGTCTTGCGTCTTCTTCCAGCATCTATGAAGCTAAGATAGGCTAATTTGTTAGATTTCAAGTAGTGAAACAATTTCAGATTACTCACAGTTCTTGACAAAAGGTCATACTCTACAGATGATATGCTTTCAAGTGGGAAACAGCCTGGGTCTCAACACGTTTTAACCCATATCCAAATACAGGATTTGTTTCCTGAAACTGCTATATTTTATTTACTACAATTTTAAATATGTGGCACTTGCTCAGATGGGCACCTGGAAATTAGGTCTTTAAACACTGAGACCTGGTAGCTAGACTTGAGGTTAAACTCATCGGTGTGCTGAATAAACACATAAGTTAGGGAAAGTAGTGTGGGAAGACTCAGATTCTTGCCATTCTCTGCAAAATTCAGAAAAGTTTACTCACATCAGGGATATTTTTGATCTCCTGCCAATTTTTGACATGCAAGGGATATATCGGTCAATAGTCACAGCAAACTGAGCTAGGAACCTGATGATGCCTAAGAATGTTATTTCTCTGTGCTTTTCTCATTGCATATGAGTGGAATCCCAGTGCAGCAGCATACCACACAAGCCCTTTATTCTCACCAGCTGCACTTCTTCCTCCCCTCCTTCCCAACCACCCCTTCCGTCAATGTGACATACCTGCCACTCTTTATTTATCACCTGCTGTGACCTTTCATGCCTCTTGTCTTTATGCATAATGCTTTCCCTGCATGTAGTGCTTTCCCCCCTATTTCTTCATCGTACAAATTTCTACTCATCTTTCAACTCTAAGTTAAAATGTCACGTTTCCTTTCTCTCTGTGAAACTGTCAGCTGCCACTTCCTATCATGTCAGTGCATTTACTTCTAGCATCAGATTCTTCTCTGCTCTTCAGATTCTCAACATCTAATTTGTCATTGGAGTGAAACAAAGCAGAGAATCAACCTAAGTTATGACTAAATAGCTTGTGAGGGCAGATCTGAGAAGATAATTGTCCATGTAGTTATGTGTATACATTATAGCCTTTTTTCTAACTGCTTGAGAGTATACCGTTTCTATCTCTTGGTTATTTTTATAACTTTAACAATATTTACAGTAATAGTTATTATTGTTACTTATTTTTCCATTTAATTCTTAGTCACTTAGCAAATTTGTGTTTCAAAATAAGTGGATTAGAGATGTTGTTTGATAGCATATATTTGTAAAGTACATAATTTTCAAAATCTTTCAAGTATTAAAATACATCATTAGTTTTAACTAGGAATTCATAAAGCAGTCCAAAATGACACTATTATCTTTTACACAAATGACAGTTTCCTCATTTCTTTTTCAAAGTTCATTTTTGAGGAAAAATTCAGTGCATTTACTCTTATCAAGTAATTTTGCCTTTGTATTAATCAATATATTATACTGAAATTATAGTAATTTCATTGTTCACCTGTGGACTATATAATACCATAAAATCTATATAAAAAAACATTATGAGTGACATGTACCAAATGAAAGAAACCATGATAACATAGCCTAGGCTGCAGTAGGTAATTTATAAAATAATAGCTACTATACATCAAACATTTATGTTACAAAAGGGACTGTCAAATATTATGTCATTTTCATTAAGGCATTACATAAATTTCTTTTTTGTGTAATCCCTGTGTTACTGGATTTTATTAATGGAGGGTTCACACAGAAGAAAGAGACTGAATAAATAGTGTTTGAAATATACATAATTACATTAAAGAAGTCATTGATGTTGTAACTTGTGCACTTTGCAGGACTATTTAATTTCCAAATAAAAGGCTATACTCCCAAGCTCAATATTTGAATTCTGTAATGTAAGCAATATGCTTAATTGTAATTAGTTTCTATATACATTTAACTATATATTTGTAGGTTAGTATTTTAAATAATTACAGAAAAAGAAAATATGTGATACATTCTTGCACATAAATACTGTATTAGCAATGCTGGGTTCAGCTAAATCAATACTATAATTTGTCAGTGTAATGTGTATAAATAAAAGAGTAGCTTGAAGTCACAATTCTTTTAAAACAATAGAAAAAATGGGGGATACTTTGCTTATATATAAATTCTGTACCAGGGATTGTGCAAGATGCCTTGTATGGAGATACTTACTCAATAAGTAAAATTTCTGCAAAATTTTAAATTTTAAATAATATCTAAATTTTAATAATTTAAATGACAAATATTTAAATTTTAATAATTTTAATTTTAAATTTTAATAATATCTCATGATTAGAGCATACTTCTTTTGAGTTAGATGTTCATAGAAATAAATGAAGTTCAGATTTCATAAAGTATTTAGAATGAGAAAAACTTCTTAGTGAATATTTCACTTCTGGGTGTTTCTGCCAGTTAAATTGTCCAACACTTGTCCTTTAAAATGTTCCTGTTGGTTAATTTCAACACACTGAAGACTGAGACCTAGCAGACAACCATGAGTAATCAAGCAAAGAGGCCTACAGCCATAAAGGGCACACTTGGGCAGTTAGTTACATTTTATCATGCTCAACATTAAGAGAAACATAAAACAGCTTTTTAAAAAATATGTATCTAGGGTATGAAATCAGTTTAAACATCATTTTCTAGAGTTACTAAAGAATATTAGAGCATGCATTTGCAAATCTAAGACCTGAATGATTTTATATACTAGACAATAGTGTCTTCCTGTACATTTACTTAAACTTTTAATACTGTATTTTTCAGTTTCTATTTCCCATTATATTAATTATAATGTCCCCTGGCTAAAGCAAAAATTCCATAACATCTAATCTTATTAAAACACATTTGAGGGTGGCTGAGCCTGGGTGGCTCAGTTGGTTAAACGTCTGACTTTGGCTCAGGTCATGATTTCCTGGTTCACTGTTCGAGTCCCACATTGGGCTCTCTGCTGTCAGCACAGAGCCCGCTTCAGATCCTCTGTCTGCCTCTCTCTTGCATGCATGTGAGCAAAAATAAGTAAACATTAAAAAAAAAACATTTGGGGCTCATATGGTGATAGAAAATATATTTTTAAAGATCTTCTCCTTTTTTCTATTTTGTCATTCAGACCATAAGATTAAATCTTGTTTTTTTCATTGTGTTTTTAGGTTATATTCAGTTGGAGGTCGTGATGGAAGTTCCTGTTTGAGTTCAATGGAATACTATGATCCTCATACAAATAAGTGGAACATGTGTGCTCCAATGTGTAAGAGGAGAGGAGGTGTTGGAGTGGCCACATGCGATGGTTTTCTCTATGCAGTAGGAGGTCATGACGCTCCTGCTTCAAATCACTGTTCCAGGTTACTAGATTATGTAGAAAGGTAAGATCTAAGGTCACAGTTACAGTGAGAGAAATAATGTGAATTACAGTGATGCCTAATTTAAGTGATTGTAAAAACTGCATAACTTAAGGAAGGGTAAATTCTACTTTCTAAATCTCTTTCTGTTTGTCTCTTTATCCAACCCTCCCCCCATACACACATATACACACTTTCATTATTTTTTTTAAATTTCAGCATAGTTAACTTATAGTGTTCTATGTGTACAATATAGTGATTCAACGATTCTGTATATTACTGAGTGCTCATTGAGATAAGTGTACTTTTAATCCCCATCACCTATTTCACCCATCTCCCACCCACCTCCACTCTGGTAACCATCTATTTGTTCTCTATAGTTAAGAGTCTGTTTTGTTTTGCTTTGTTTTGTTTTGTTTTGTTTGATTCTTGTTTTAATTTTTCCTTTTTTTTTCTTGAATTCCACACGTGAGTGAAATCATATGGCATTTGTCCTCTAACTGGCTTATTTAGCTTGGCATTATACTCTATAGCCCCATCCATGTTGCTGCAAATGGCAACATTTCATTCTTTTTATGGATGAATAATATTCCATTGTGTATGTATACCATATCTTCTTTATTCTTTCATCTATTGATGGACACCTGGGCTGCTTCCATAATTTGGCTGTGGTAAATAATGCTGCAGTAACATAGGTATGCATATATCCTTCTGATTTAGTATTTTTGTATTCTTTGGGTAAATACCCACTAGTGTGATTACTGGATCATACAGTAGTTCTATTTTTCTCCACATCCTCACTGACACTTGTTTCTTGTGTTTGATTTTAGCCAGGCTGGCAGGTGTGAGGTAATATCTCATTGTGGTTTTGATTTGCATTTCCCTGAGGATGAGTGATATTGAGCATATTTTCATGTCTATTGGCCATCTGTAGATCTTCTTTGAAAAAGTGTCATGTCCTCTGCCCATTTTTTAATTGGATTTTTTTTAGTGTTGAGTTTTATAAGTTCTGTAGATATTTTGGATACTAATCCTTTATCAGATATGTCATTTGCAAATATCTTCTCCCTTTCCATAGGTTGCCTTTTAGTTTTGTTGATTGTTTCCTTCACTGTGAGGATGCTGTTGTTATTATTGTTTGCTTTGTTTTGTTTTGTTTGATGAAGTCCCAGTAGTTATTTTTGCTTTTGTTTCCCTTGCCGCAGAAGAAGCTAGAAATTAGTTGCTAGGGCCAGTGTCAAAGAGGTTACTGCCTGTGATCTCTTCTAGGATTTTTATGGTTTCCTGTCTTACATTTAGATCTTTAAACTACTTTCAATTTATTTTTGTGTATGGTGTCAGAAGGTGGTCCAGTTCATTTTTTTTTTGCATGTAGCTGTCCAATTTTCGCAACACCATTTGTTGAATAGACTTTCCATTTCACAATGTATATTCTTGCTTCTTTTGTTGAAGTTTATTTGACCATATAATTGTGGGTTTCTTTTTGGACTTACTTTCATTCTTTCTTGTTTTATTTTTGTCCTTCCTATCTCCTGCCTTTCCTCTTTCCTCACTTCTTTCCTTTCTTTCTTCAACTTTTATTTAAAGCCCTGTAATTTTTTCCACAATAATTTAAAGTAATATTTTAAAAGACCCTTTAAAACAGTTTTAAGTAATCTACTAAATCTATGAATATTTGTTAATTCTTTTTTAAAAGTTAGGTATTTAATTGTTCATCCTATATTGTTCTACTACTCCCTTCCAACTCTCAAAGGTGCATTACGGACTTTCTTTTGTGTCATACCTTTATTAACGGAAGACAGACTTATTAGAACTCTATCTTCTGTAATCCTGGTCCTCTTTTAACTATTCCTAAAAATGGCCAAGTGTACAAAGTTCTGGAGTAGAAATATAGGTTCTCTTTTAATTCTCCCTAAAAATGGTCAAGTGCACAAAGGTCTGGAGTAGAAAGGAACCCTGTCTTCAGGCTTGGGTCCAACAATCCAAACACTTCCTGGCATGTTTATATCTAAGTCCTCTTTAAGCACTGTATATCACTTGGAACTATTATACTGTGTACAGTGATAGAGAGTTAGTGAAACCTAAGATGATATTTCTTATTATGTAAGAATACATGCTGATATATGAGAATTGGGAATACTGAAGTCAACTATTATATCAACTGAGATAGGATAAGTTATTCTGTAATGAATAACTTTGAAACTCTCAGTGACTTAATACTGTATTTTTTTTTCTTACTAGTGCTGCATGTCCCTGACAGATCCATGATATCATTGCTCTGCTACTCAGAATAGCAGATAAGCTAAGTGTAAGCACTGCTAGTGTTGGAAGGGAAACGTGTACACTGTTCACTGGCTCTTAGAGTCCACATGCCAGTAATATAATTCTCTTTTTTCCATACTTTGACAAACCAGTCACATGGCCACAGAAAAATTAATGAGGGTGGGAGAACTTCCACCTGGTAGAAGAACAAGAGATAATTGAGATTGCACTGATGGCAATAACAATTGTCCTCTTGATATTTAGAAGTCACATCCATTATACTCATGCTTGCAGGTGGTATAGTCAGTGGCAGAAAGATGCTCTCTCTTTTATAATGTATTTGTCTAAAGATATGTGATGATTTTTGTTGAGAATAAGGCCATTGCAAGAGATAACTTTTAGTAAACTGACTGTGCTCAAACTTAAGCCACTTCTTGAATAAAATGTAGAAACATGTTTAATGACATTTCTAGTGTGTGAAATTTCTAGTGTGTGAAATACATAAATGTAGATTTATGGCTATCTACACATAGAGGAAAGCAATAAGCTCAACACAGTTTCACTTCACCATTCTCTTGTCCAATGAAATTAGGAACAACAGGTGTTACAGTGAGGACAGTGGTGAAAGGACAAATAAATAAATGTACACCTTTATACACACAAACATAGTCATTTACTTAAAACATACTCCTAATAGGCTGACAGCTCATTCACATTTTTCTCTGCTAAATTATTGGGAAAAATAGCAAAAAGAAAAAGAAAAAGATTAGCATGATGTGGCTCCTATTTTTACTATATATCTTACATAAGTGTTACTAATGAAATGATATTTCATTATTCTCTTCTAACTTTACTGTCTAATGTATTGAAATGTTGTGAATAGAGGCATAAATAATCCAGTCTACAAATATATTTATGATGCAAAATTAAACTTAAATAAGTGTAGCTATTTTAAGTTAGAGGAGTACAATGGGTGTGAGCAGTTTAAGTAATGCAGAAGCACACAGCATTATCATGATTCTTATCCCAGCTCATATTATGTGTCAGATTAATAGCATTTTTGTAGTTTCTATCACATATATTCTATAGTGATGATTTCACATGTAAATCATCAATAAATCAAGATACATAATAGTACTCTGTAGGATTATTTTACACATATAATGTAAAGACTGTTTTTTAGTATATAATCTTAGGAAAACAAACCATTAGGAATAACAAGTAGTAGTGTACAATGTTATGTATCATAGATTGACGGATGGAACAAATTTTACTATATGACAAGGATTTCTTATGGAAATATAAAGGTATTACATAATAGTGGTGTTAAAGTAGTTATATAAGACATCAAAAGTTGTAAAGAGTCAGGCTGTCTTAAACACAAAGAACACTGGCATCTCAAATCAGAGCAAGAAAGAAGGCGAGGACTCAACAAGAACAGACAGTTTAGAATAGTTCATGGAACAGTGAAAACCAATTTCACAGCCAACTCTCACTGTGGTAAGAGCATCCTAGTGGACAAAATTGATGTCCAAAAGATGTAGTGAGTTCTAGCAGAATTGCCCAGAAGGTGCGATCCATAAGACAAAGCGCATGAATCTATTTTTTTTATTCAACAAATATTGTTTTGCATGTATTTTCACTGGACTAAATAGAGCTTGAAACTTACTTGAAAAAAAGAGACAAATAAATAATTAGAACTTGAAGATCACAAATAAAACAGGAAACCAGGAAATGAATCAAAAAATATGCTCAAATGCATTGGTTCTGCTGGCTAATAATAGATCGGGACCACCTTCACCCTCAAATCTACATCCCAGCCATAAGGCCTGCAAGAGAGAGAGATCAAGATAAGAGCCTCTTAAATCTGCCTTTGTAATGTTCACTCTGCCTTCTTCCAATTTTTTCTCTATATAGTAGTAGCCAGAGACATTTTTTCATAATTCAAATTTGACCTGAAAGCACAAGGGAGTTTTCTTGTGTACCCACTATCGATGATATGATGAAAAATAATTTTAAATCAATTTTTTAACATAGCTAGATCCATGTGCTGGTGATGATCAAGATTAGCCTGTTCACCCCTATAATCCTCCCCTTGGTACAATTCTTGGTACAAAGTGAGTCCTCACCAAGCCTATAGTGAATCAGGTAGATGCTAAGAAAAACAGGCCTCAAATTTCTCACAAGGGAAAACATCTGGAGATATACTGTAAATAGGAAGGTATATAGATTAATAGATAGAAAGATAGGGATGCACGGATGTATGGATGGAAGAATGGAAAGATGCATGGATGTGTGGGTGGACTGATGGAAAGACATAAATTTTTGTTTATTTTTCTATTTGCATATGAATGCCCATTTCCACCATTATAGACTGAGTATCAATGATTTACATCTATATATTTTAGGCATTTGTTTTATTGACAAAATTTTTGATAGGGACTAAAATATTAAGCAACTTTTCATATATTTATTGAAAGTTATATCTTTATATCTAACCCAAACACTATTAACAAATAAGCATCTAATAAATTTTTATACATCATTTACAATAAATATAAAACGTCTGGTCAAAATTTACCAAATTCTAGTCTAGTCATATCAGAAAAAGTCACCTAGGGGGGCCTGGGTGGCTCAGTCGGTTGAGCGTCCGACTTCAGCTCAGGTCATGATCTCATGGTCTGTGAGTTCAAACCCCACATCGGGCTCTGCGCTGACAGCTCAGAGCCTGGAGCCTGCTTCGGATTCTGTGTCTCATTCTC